GGACAGACAGCAGCAGCTATGGAGGCTCTCTGTATACAGCTTAGAATCCAGGAATGGTGCGGAGTGAGGAGTCCTAAGCAAGGGGAGATATACCCTGCTGACCCAAGAACGAACTAGGCTGAGAGAAACCAACTGGGAATGCAATCCCGTGCTGTAACAGGAACAGATAAAGTCTCAGTGTGGAAGCTGGAACCCGCACCACTGGAAGCGACTTGGGTTTCCTGCCACCTCTCCTGCGTCTGAATCGGGACAGCAGGGAGAGAGACATGTGAAAGCTCTGAGAGCGGGAACTGGCAAACGAAGTTGAAAGCGGGACAGGCAGGGAGCCCTGCATTGACCTGCGGTGAGTGAGGGAAACAGGGACTCTTCCATGGACTAAAAGGCTTCAACAGAGGACATTCTGGTACCAGGCAGACTAGCCGGAACAGGACGCTACAGTGACTTTAGTCACATATTCCCCTCTCAAGCGGGATTGGTGGGGAGTACATGGCCTGGGTGACGCCCACGGACTAAGACCCAGTAGGCTAGACCAAACCATGTCCCAGTGCCTGGCGATGCACCTTAGCAGTGAAGTTTTCAGTAGGTTGACTGACCTGGAGTGGCGGGCCCAGCAGAGGCTGCCCAGGTCTGTGTCTCCCTAGTACACTGCAGTAGATGGGAACACCTAGCTGGCGGATTCAAACAAACTGTAACCACCAAGGGAAAAAAAAACAAAAAACAAAAACTGGGCCTCGTATTTACACTTGTATGGAAGAAACAAAAAGTATGGGAAGAGGGAGCAACAAGAAAGGGTCCTCGGCCCCCAATCCTGAGAACACTGATCCAAGAAAGGTAAATACAAAGGAGAATGAGGACAGAAAACATGCAATATCAGGCATGGTACCAATAGACATAAAGCGGTATCTCTGGAGCCTCATAGATGAGTTCAAAAGTGAAGTATTTAATGAAATAAAGCAAGATATAAGTAGAATAGTTAGAGAAATGCTAAGCACTGCACAAGAAAAAACAGATAGTGGAATGGAAGAACAGAAAAAAAGGGGAGAATTGTTTGATGGAGAAAATAGAGAAAACAGAATACGTGAAGCAGGTTCAAAGAGATAACCAGGAAACTAAAAACCCTATTGAAAGCCGGCATAACAGCTTGAAAGAAACTAAGGATAGATTATTTGAACTGGAGGACAGATTTGTAAAGTGGGAGCATGAAACGAAAAACTTCTTAAAAATAACAAAAAAACAAACAGCAATAATACAAAGGCTAGAAGATGATAAGAGGATCCATAACTTAAGAATTAAGAACATAAAAGAAGAGATAGGGACACAAACAAATGAACTACAAAAGCTATTCACAGAAATAATCCAGGAGAATTTCCCTAGTTTAGCAAAAGGTAAAGATACTCAGATGTATGAGGCATACAGGACCCCAGCCACCTACAACCCAAACAGAGCTATACCCAGGCATAAAATACTCAAAATTCCAGAAATCCAATATAATAACAATATTAAGTGCCGTCAGAGACAAGAAACAGATCACTTACAAGGGAACACCCATCAGAATTACAGCAGACATCTCGGCACAAACCATCAAATCACAAAGAGCATGGGGGGAAATAATTCAAGCTTTGAAAGATAATAACCTCCAGCCAAGATTGATATATCCTGCACAACTATCCCTAGAAATTGATGGAAAAACAAGGTGCTTCCAGGATAAAGAGGAACTAGAGGAATTTGCAACCACCAGTTCAACTCTACAGCGAATACTGCAAGATATTCTAAAAAAGAAAAATACCAAGATTCCAGAAATAGTGGCAGAGAGGCCACAATGAATGGAGCAGAAAGTAAAATAAAGAAGACAAACTAACAAGTAATGACAGAAAAAGAGCTCACCAGAAATGAGGCAGAGAAGGTTAGATGGTAGGAACATCTATTTTGGAGAAAACAAGACATCATAATAGCTAGTGCTGATTTAGTATCATCTTGTTTTGAAGTCCCATCAAGCTTTTGTTCTTCTGTCTCCATAGGTCTTAACATGTTGTAGCTTATTGGATTTTATTATATGTGATAATATAAACAAAAACTTTTAGACAAGGAGATTATACAGAAACCATTGTTCACTTTCTGTTAGCTGATTCCAAATACCCTGTAATAATGTCATTCCCTTGAACGGTTTTACATTGTTTTGATATGTTTGATGCTATAGTATATGAAGTTATACTCAAAGATTTTGAGGAAAGAGACAACATGGTAACTACTTTTATGTTGGGATTATCTTGTGGTAAAACACTATTTTGCTTAAATGGTTATGTTTTTTTCTGCGCTGTTTTGTTGTTATGCCCTCTTTTATCTCAATCTCCATTTTATTAGTTACTTTTTTATTTTTATCCTTTTAATTAAGGGAAAAATAAATTAAAAAATAGCAGGATATATTATAGTAACCCACTTTGATTTACTATTAACTTGATTTGAAGCCCTGTATTGCTCTCACCATCTTGTTTTGACTGATGTTCCTCTATTCTGTTTTGCTTGATAGTACCAGGTTCGAAAGTATAGGCAACAGCTGTGAAGATAGTGAGATTCATTATGACGCCCATTCTGGTTGACTATTATCTTCTTTGAAGACCTGTAATGTCTCCAGTGTTTTGGTTTTGTTGGTTTTGTTCTTTACTGTTTTGTTCAATTTTATTATAACTGATGATATAGGCAATTCTTTTTAAGATAGCAAGAGGCATTATGGTAACCATTGTTGATTACCTTGTATTATGTTTTTACATTATATATTATGTCCATCCTTTTGATTTGACTGACTCTGTTCTGTTATGTCACATTTGATTTTCCTCTTCAAAAAAAAAAAAAGTAATAAGAACTGTGGGAGTAATAAAACCCAAAATATGTAATTGTCATTGTACCAAAGAGAGGAAAAGAAAGTGCTCTAAACGATATAACTGCATGTATATTAAGTGTATAAGATAGATAACGATATTACTGAGTTTTGTTGGATCATTGAACAGAACTGTTTGCAGTCTCACTGTTTGAATGTTCACTTTATATGCTTTAATTTTGTAACTTGAACAAATATTTCTAAGATGACAATATGTAATCTATTAACTAGTGATTTCCTATTGTTTATTTTTTTCTGAAATTCTGTATAACTTGTACCCTTTTTCTGCTTTTTTTTCTTTTTCTCCTTAAATAAAATTTAAAAAAAAAAAAAGGGACAAGATGACTATGAGCTGATCTTAGTTAAAACATTCTTCACTGGCCCTAAGGTAAAGCTGCCAAGTTGATAATACAAATAATCAGGTTCTTTCTCATTGCATAAAAAACAATGCCATACATTTCAAATGAAAGTGTGAGTAAAACCAAAACTTGTCTAATAATGTACATAATGAAAGATAAAGAAAATTGACGTTACCACCACTCCACCTTTGCAGTAGACTCGGGTCTGGATCATCTCACTCATGGTCAAAGTTCCATATGTCTAACTTGTAATAATCTATAACAGGAAAGTGTAACTGATAGATTTACTTCATTCAAGGTGAGATTTATTTGAGCAAAAGATTGCTGAGTTCTGAACTTATTTCCAACGGAACTATATTCAGTTTCACAGAGAAGCATAATGGCACACAGGAGTATAGGCCCTCCTTGGAAAAGAGAAAAAAATTTTGGAAAAAAGTGAATCTTGACTATAATGAGATTCGGTAGCTCATATATCACAAACATGCCACCTGAACAAATAATCAAATGTCAGTGAAGGGCCAATATTTTTATGTCTCATAGGTAAATGTTTTAAGAAAAATCAAATTTGACAAAGAAGTTAGCTCTTAGATATCATTATCGTGGCACTGATGAATAAAGCTGAAATCAGAACAGTTTCAATGAGACTTTGAAATGGGAACAATGTAGAGGACAAGGAGGTAACAGACTTGCTGATTTGGAGAAGACTGTGAAATGGAGAGTGAAAAAGTACACTACTCATTATTTTTGGCTTTGGGACAATCCAGTCATTCACTATTTTGAACAAGTAGCGCAGTCAAACACCAGCGCTGCTGCATATGGTTTCTCTGGCCCCAACTCTCCCTTTAACTTCTCCCTCCGAGAATCCCTGGCTCAACAGCTGACTTAGGCTTCCAAAGGAAACCTGGGCGAATCACATTTTGTGGTAAGTCATTTTCAGATCTTTACATGGCTTCCAACATAATTCTCCCTGCTGTTTGCTGAACAGAAGAAATGAAATGAAGCTCTAATTATATTACTGAAAATGGCCTTAAAGCAAGCAATCTGATTTTCAAAGGATCATAGAATATCATTTCATTAAATTTACCTTCATCTCGAATATACTCATTCGCTTCATCGTAAAGATGTTTCAACTGTCAAAGTCTCTTTGCTATTTAAAAATAAGCTCCTTGATCAAATTTATTCCTTCATACAATATATATTGCTTATATCCCAGGCACTATATGGTCAAGATTCTTCTGCTAAGAAGGAACATGTAGGTTAGTAGCTACTAATGTATCTTATTAAATATACTCATTCTTCCAGTGTGTAAACACATACCAACCCCTGTGTTTCCTTGGTTTGACAGGGTTAGCCTCTTTCTTCTGCTGCTAACTACATGAAGGCTGTGATATGACCAGCAAATGAAGGCATTTTCTACCTTCATTTGTTCTAAATGCTGATTTTTTAGAACACTGGATTTATAAAGAAGTCTAGAAAAAATCTCCAGGCTTACTGAGCCGGTCAGAAGTGAATGGACCTACTTCACCAGACAAATCCTACCTCCGTATATCCCAGGAAATACAAAATGAACACAGAAAACAAAAAGTTACAACTAAAAAAATGTAGATTTAGCAGCCATGTAAAATATATGACCAATTATCTCTTAAAATAATCAATTTTCTATTTTATAATGTATAATACTTAATAACTACTTATGAAATTTAAACTCTTATGAGCAGAGGAGAAATTAAAGCTATTCCTCCTCTCAAAGCCACACAGAAACTCACTCTGCTATGTTGAGATAGCCACAGGAAGCTGCCGCATGGAGAGGTGTCCAGCCCTCATTATCTTGCTGGTTTACGTTGGCTCTGTTCTCCACCAAAAATTTCACCATGTCCAAATTTTCATCAATACAGGCCTGAAAAGAAAAACCCATTCTATCATTCAACAATTCTTTATTGAGTTTTAGTGTGTGCAAGGGCCTGCTTTGGACACTGACAGTGCCCAGCAGCAGTTCAAGTGATACATTAATTTTTATTTCTTTCATACTAAGTGTCTAGAGTGTGACTTCTAAGTCTACAAGTACTGTAGAATTATTATTTACAGTAGTGAGAGCACTAATAGTATTAATTGTAAATGGGATTTCCAAAGTGCTACAAATGGGTAAACTGTTTTAAACTATATTATAAAAAGAAGAGCACTTTAGAAACCTGATAAACACTGATTTACTTATGAATTTTAAAAGAAAAAAATCACATAGGTTCCAATACAAATTTCTCAGTGGAAAATTATAGTTTAAGGCTCTAGGATTGCTAGGATTTTTCACATTTTTGGTGAGAAAGGGTAAGAAGATCTTTTCAGGTGGAAGAAATGTATTTTCTGAATGGAAAAATATGTTTGTAGCTATGGGTTCAGGGAGCCTTATCTGGCTATTTCATAGCAGCAATTAGAGGGAGACATTTTCTGAATAAAGACTTTAGGCCTCTAAGAAACAATCACAAACACCAATGAGATCTGCAAAAATCAAAAAGCTGTCTTGACACAGCTACAAAATAAAAAGGAGGCAGAAGGCCTACACTGACAAAAGTAATCATCATCCAGGTTTAAACGCTCCTAAAAACAGTTGGGATAATTCAGGACCTATAAACAAATGAGATCTTCTTAACATTTGCTTACAAATGCTTTCCTTTAAATAAATACTTAAAATTTTCATAGAGGAAGAATTCACTAGCCAAATCAAAATGATTGCCACAATAACGTTAGGAGGTTGTTTGCATTTTGATTGTGCTGACATTGGCAGTGATGATGCAAAAGCAACGGTGAGTGAAATGACCAGTGCTTTAGCACAAATCAAGATGAATGGCATCAAGAGAAACCAATTCTACCTAAGAACGATGTGAATGAAGTAGTAAAAATTTTTAATTTTACTTCCCCTAAATCCTTGAGCACGGTGTGACCAAGTGGGATGTCTACTTGAAGCACTTCTGCTATACATGAAGTGTGTGCCCACAGCCAAGAAAAAGCATTCGTCCATTTATCTGACCTGCAAGACAAACTAGCCACTTTTTTGTAAAACACTATCCTTATTCAAAAGCATTATTGACAATTTATAACTATTCAAACTTGAAAAGAACAAAGTAAGCCTGTCACCTCAAAGAAAATAACTACCATTTGTTGTCAATGATAAAAGTTTACCATGCAGCCAGGCATGGTGCCACATGCCTATAATTCCAGCACTTGATACGCTGAGGCAGGAGGATTGTGATGCAAGTTTGAGACCAGCCTGGGCTACAAAATGAGCTCCAGACCAGCCTGAACTGCACAGTGAAATGCTGTTTCAAAAAAGACCAAAAACAAAAAACCCCTCAACCATGCAAGGGAAAAGTGGAATTTTGAAAAACTTGGTCAACATCATGAACTCTTGTGCACAATGGGCCCATCAAACAGCACTGATGATTTGCTCAAATTACACAGTGAAACATGTTTACACTTGGAAAGTCTACATAACTCATTGAACCTATATTTTCCAAATAGCCCAGTACATGGTGTTAAGAGAATCATACATAAAAGATCCATTCAATGTACAGTGGGTTTTAATGTCACAGAGTAAGACCAGTCCATTGACATGGTTTTAGTTTCTATACTACAATCAATATTTAAGACACTATCACTTGGAGTTTTTGTATTGTACACAATAACACCCACAATTATCTAAGTAAGCAATTAAAAGTATATATTTCTAAAATATGAAATTTATATTATGTAATGAACCATTATTCAACTTAATTAATATCTATATTTTTTCAATGTAATATACTTCTTAGTATATAACAACAAATATACGCAATGGTCTCAACAAATTAGAATTCTGAATAAATGTTTAAGTGTAAATGAATCTGAAGATCAAGCTTGAGAACCACCATCTTCCATCAGACTTATCAAGAAGTATTTTATGGTGATAATGAGTAACTGTTTAAGTAGCAGATCACTGTGGAAAGAATTCAATTAGAATTTTAGAGGATCTCTGTAAATAAAGGACCCAAGAAGTACACATAACTTATGGGAACTGCCTCATGTCAAACCTGTCTAAAAGCAACAGTATGGATGGAAATTTAAGTGGAAAAAAATTGAGAGAAGGTCTTGTTATGTAGTCTAAGCTGGCCATGAATTCATTCTGTAGCTCAGGCTGGCCTTGAACTTAAAATGATCCTCCTGCTTCAGCCTTCTAAGTGCTGGGATGATAGGCATGCCCCACCTGGCTAGATAAAACTTTAATTAATTAACTGGATACAAAATGCATTTTTGTCAATTTTTCCCTAATCATTTGATCTTTTTAAAGTAATTGAAATCATCTAAACATGCTAGCCTAGATTTGATTTAATGCAATATAATACCTCCAACTTAACCTTTAAATTCAAATGTACTAGCCGGTATTTATGTCTTTTTCAACAAGCAGCTCCAGAAGTTACACTTCTATGATACATATAATCTGTGCTTTATCAACTTCCATAAGCATTCTATTTCTCCACATATAATATTTTTAAAATACTTATAAAATATTTTTAAATTTTGATAATTAAGCTTATCACTAAGTTTATGTTGTATGTTTGTCAGTCTGCAATTCTACATGATATGGTGCAGCCAAATTACTGCAGATTCCTTTACTAAAGTCTATTAACCTTCAAGTGAAAAGAGGAAAGCGAGCAAGTCTTAACCTATTGCTATTATACCTGAGTAATTTATAAAGAAAAGAGGTTTATTTTGACTTATGGTTTTGGAAGCTAAGAAGCACAAGACTAGGTGGCAGCTTCTGTTGTTGGGGGCCTTGTACTACCCCAACTCATGGCAAAAATTACAAGGGCAAGCAGGAATGTGACAGAAAAAAAGGTGGCTGAACTCATAACCCATTCCTATGGAAAAAAAGCATTAATCTATTAATGAAAACTTACCCCCTATAACGCAAGTACCTCTCTCTAGGACTCCCCCCGCTTCCCAGCACTGCTGCAACAAGGAAATAAAGTCTCAACACAAACTTTTAAAGAACACACTCAGGGCAGTTTCCAAAAAAGTATTACAGTCCAAGAAGACTATTTCAGGAGCTATGTCATACACACTCTTTGCTCTTAATAGTAACTCCTATTTTGTGATGGTTAATCTTGATTGGCTTGAGGCACCTGAGAGACCAGTAGGGTATGTCTGGGTTAGTCACAGGGGCATGCCTAGGGGAATATATCTAGCTCCTGGTCCCTTTCTTTGGCTCTTTCCCTGTTCTCTGCTTCCCAGATGCCATGAGTCGCATGGGTTTGCTTCCACTATGCCCTTTTCCTGTTTCTGCCTTGGAGGCAGCTGACTGTGGACTGAGACCTCTCAAGCCATGAGCCACAGTAAACTTTTTCTCTTGTAAGTTGTGTGTGTTAGATATCTTATTCCAACAACAAGAAAGATGACCAATACATGTATTAAATGTGTCGTCTTGACTTGGGTAGCTCAGGACAACTGGGTCAACTGCTTCTTGCGTGGTTGCAAAATGTCTTTGGCTCTGAAAAAAAAAAAGAACAGTCTAAAATCTTAACTTCAGGGCTGGGGATTTAGCTCAGCGGCATAAGCGCCTGCCTTGCAAGCAGGCAGTCGTGAATTCGATCCCTGGTACCGATGAAAAGGAAAAAGACAAAAAAAAAAAATCTTAACTTCAATGGCTACACCACCATGAGACTTGTAGAAGTCAAATGTTGTCAAGTTAATTCTTTGTTCTTTGAAGATGTCAGCAGCCAAATTCCAGAGGGCCTAAAATAAGCCCAGCTAGTCCAGGTATCAAACAGGAGAAAATTAACCTTTTCTTCTTTTTTCTTATTAGCTCTCTTTTCTTTCTAATTTTTACTACTTCATTTTTTCTCCTTTTCAGTTTTGTGATATTGTTGTCTATAGATTTCTAATCCTTGACATAACATGCTTATGGGGAGTAATATTGTGAGGCAGTTTGAGAGAATGGAAACAATAAGTAACTGGCCTAATTTGAAATATTAATTTGGCAGGTCATCGATCTCTGAAGAATTATTTTAGAGAAAGTAAAATAGTCCAACTGCTCAAATCCATCTTCTACAAAGTGAAGGACAATAATTGTTGAAAGCATCAGCTTCAGGGGCAGATAAACCAGGGCTTAGATACCAGTTCTGACAATGCATATAACCCTGGAGCAGGAGACTTCACCTAAGTACTGTCAGTATACTCATCTAGAACACTGAGAAGACTGTTCACCTCAGGGTTTTATGAGGATTAAAAGGGGGTACATCCTTGGAATAGTTCCTGATGCTGTTTTTAAGCAAACAGTTTAACAAACAACAACTTCTGGCGGCGGGGGCAGGGAACCTATATATCTAAGAGTTCTAAACTATCACACCCAGGTTCAACCTCCAGTAACCTTCCTTATGGAAGGAAAGCAATTTGATTAAAAATATCTTTATTTGGGACTGGGGATTTAGCTCAGCGGCATAAGCACCTGCCTTGCAAGCAAGTGGTCGTTTGTGTTCGATCCCTGGTACCGATAAAAATGAAAAAGACAAAAAAAAAAAATCTTTATTTTTATTTATTTATTTTTTTTTTTTTTTTGTCTTTTTTCCTTTTTATCGGTACCAGGGATTGAACTCATGACTGCCTGCTTGCAAGGCAGGCACTTACGCCGCTGAGCTAAATCTCCAGCCCCAAAATCTTTATTTTTAATCAAATACCTTGAACTAGCAAGATTTAGGACGTTTAAATTCAGATAATCCACTCTCTCTTTTTCAGGTACTGTGGGTTACTAAATTCAGGCGCTATAGGACTAGAATGATATGCATCCTGGTTAAATTGGAAGAGAATTATCCTTGTAATCCATTCAATACTGATCAACACAATTGTAGGACTTTTATTCTCATGAAATAC